GTGGGCATTTTCTGGCCACCCAGCTCTGAAGTAGGTGCAGAAGTAAAGATGACAATACCACAATTCTCCTATAATAACCTTTTTGCCCCCTACTGGGCATCATGAGAGCTGCACTAATATACAGGGGGTGGGGAAAATCTTGTTCTTCCTTATTCTCAAGGTGCCTCCTGCCTTCTGAAGACACTTTGAATTAGAGAACAGTGGAATTTAATTGGCAGCTCCCTGAACCTGAATGATGACAGCCACTCCTTCATTTTTCTCCGAAAACTTAGTGAGCAATGGATTATTAGAGGAAGGAGCAGAAAGAAAGGAGTTAGGTTACTGCTATGTGAAGACAAGAAAAATAAGTAGTGAGGGTTTCCAACATTTGAAGGATTAGGGCTTGGGCAATTATCAGTAACATAAAGTATACAAATTCTTACCTGTCACCTTAGATCTCCCCAAACACCCTTCTCTGAGATTTTGAGTAGGGTCTCAAGAAGCATTCATACAGATTGGCTGCTAATCATCACTAAGCCTTCAGAAGTTTTTAAGGTTATTTGGCTTCAGATACTATTATAGAGCTTGTTTTCCTCTGAAACTCAGACGTTCTATATTAGAAAAGATTGTCATCAAGAGAACATGACCTACGAAGGAAGACTGAAAGAATTGGTCTTGTTTAGTTTGGAAAGAAGACTGAGAGGGGACTTGATAGCGGTTTTCAGGTATCTAAGGCTACGTCTAGACTATGGGGTTTTTCCAGGATACCATAAAAACCCTGGCACGTTCAGGGAGCATGTTTGCTCTTCCTCTTTTTTTCGCAGAAGAGCAAATGTGCTCTTTCAGGGAGCCCTGTATACCTCATTCCACGAGGAATAAGGACTCTGATGAAAGAGGAGGCTTTTCTGCCATTTGGCCCTGTCTAGACTGGGCCAAATGGTGGAAAAGCCTCTTTCAGAAAAACGATCGGAAAAAGCAATGCAAATTGCAGAGTACAATTTGCGTAGCTTTTTCAGATAAAGCCCCACACTGTAGACCTAGCCTAAAAGGGTGTCATAAGGAGGAGAGAGAAAAATTGTTCTCCTTGGCCTCTGAGGATAGGACAAGAAGCAATGGGCTTAAATTGCAGCAAGATAGGTTTAGGTTGGACATTAGGAAAAACTTCCTGTCAGGGTAGTTAAACACTGTAATAAGTTGCCTTGGGAGGTTGTGGAATCTCCATCTTTGGAGATATTTAAGAGCAGGTTAGATAGACAGCTATCAGGGATGGTCTAGATCAGTGGTCCCCAACCTTTTGAGGTTGTCGGGCGCCAGGGGGCGTGGTCGTTTGCCCGCCGGGCGCCAGGGGGCGGGGACACTAGCGCGCCCGGGGGCGGGCCCCCCCCTTGCCACATGCCCGGGAGCGGGCCCCCCCCCTGCCGCACGCCCAGGGGCGG